TTTGTAACCAAATTTTATTGGTGTTTCTGTTGATTATAATCTGAATCATATTTATTATTCAAAATTTAAGATAAATTACATTAAAGATAATTATGATTTTAAACATAATAAAATTATAATACAACAACAGTTAATTAAGTTAACGACAACGGGATCATCTTGGTATTTGCAATCAACATATAAGAAAAATCTTTGTACTTTTAGTAAGACATAAATTAGGACAAAGGTTATAGGTGAAATAGCTAATGTCACACGGCTGACTCATACGAACTATTGCAAGCAAAATCCTCGTACCATTGCCATCATTATATATACATATAGGCTATAGCTTCTAGGGAATTATTTTATTTGGAAGTAAGAAAATGCACTTGGGAACTCAGATTTTTTTTTATAGTGGGCCAATATAATATAACTAAATTTTTATCTAAAGTAATTTATACATGTTTTTTAATTTAGGGAAAACTAACTATTTGGTCATCTATCTATTACTTAATTTATGTTTTCGTCACTCAATTATTATCTCTTTAAAATCATGGCTAACCTTACATTTTGGTTCTATTTTGAACACTCACCATTAAAAAAATTAATAATAATGTTAATGTAATATTTTTTTAATTATTTTTAATCATAAAATGATATTATTTTATGATGACACATCAATATCACGGCTACATTTTTAAAGATGAGTGACCAAAATAGAAATAAAACATAAATTATGATTTAAAACAAATAATAGTTATGTGACCAAAATAGAAATTAAATAATTAATGAGTAAATGAAAAAGTAACTTATCCTTTTTAGCATAGGGCGGGCCATAGCCTAAGCCTAGGCTTGGATACGCCCCCGAGAAAATGGCGGCTCGCTAGAGTTACGGCCAAGAGTCTAGTCATATAATATTGGAAATCGCGCGCGTAAGCATGCACGAAAACTCTGAGGCTAGACGTCAAGTTTTCATGCGGTATAACAATTAAGATAAGGGTAAAGAATATTGTTCTTTACTTAATTATTTTCTCCCTCGTATTCTTTTATTTAAATTTTAATTTACTCGCTAAATTTAGTGATTGAATTATTTTATTTACTCTCCCATTTTTCTCTAACTATCAGATGATGTCACATTTTTTATTATTTTTTAATATAAAATAATTAAAATTTTAAATTAAAATAGAAATTGGTTGGATACTATTGTCGACTACCGTCAACTGCCGTAGATGGTGGTCGTTCGGTTTCAAATTTCATGGGTCTCTTTGAATCGACATCGTAAGTCTAAATTCGACCTCCATTTTGTCAGAAGTTGATATGAAGTCTATAAAATTGAGATTGAAAGTAGTCATGTAAATGAACCGAACAAATACGAACGGAGGTATGTTTATGTTCGTTCATTTAATTTTAACAGAACAAATGAACGAACACAAACATAAACGAACAAAAAATTTCTTGTTCGTATTTGCTAGTTAAGGAATGTAGCTTGTTCATTTTTGTTCATGATTGTTCATTCATTTAAAAGATAAACGAACACAAATGAACAAACATAAACGAACGGATGTAAACGAACATAAACAAATATAATAAACAAACAAAAACGAGCGAACGTAAATGAAGATAAACTAGCACAATAAATGAACATAAACAAACATAAACCACAACAACAATAATCAAATAAACAAATATAAATGAACAAAAGAAATCATGATAAATGAATTTATTTTACAAGAAGATCTCGAAATCTTAAAAAGATTTATTCTGAGGCTCTGACTAAGTCGTCTCCGATGATTCAGTGAAGAACGATAGACAATAGTGAATAAAGATTAAATAGCATGAGGTGTGAGCGATAAGCTTGAAATTTGAAAATAGATTTTTCTTCTTTCCTAACAATTTTAGGAATATATTTTATTTAATTGTTTTGGTTTTTTTATTTGAATTTAAAATTAATTGAATTTTAAAATATTAATACGTATCATATTAAAATTTAACGGGCCTTAATATTTTAAATGGTTCTAGAGAGATTGACTTAAACTTAAATGAACGAACATAAACGAACGAAAGTAAACGAACATAAATGAACAAATATAAACGATCGAATTACTGAACGTTCACGAGCGTAAATGAACAAACAAGTTCTATGTTCGTGTTCATTCATTTAATTAAACGAACACAAAATTTTGTTCATGTTCGTTCGTTAAATAATAAACAAACATAAACGAACTTCTCGTCGAATGGTTCGCTGAACATTGGGTTTGTTTACAAGTCTAATTGAAAGTGAGGAGTTCAAAACGTTTTAGTCGAGATTCACGAGTTTTTGGACATTTTCTGGCGAAACAACCACCAGATTCAGACTCAACGGGTCTAGATGAATTGACCCAAGAAATTTGGGATCGACAGTGGCCAGAATGAAAATGACATGGTGGCCGGAGGAGAGAAAATGGAGAAGAAAATGAAAAGGGTAAATTACACAATTCCTCATTGAACTTTACTCTCTCTCCTATTTTACTCACCTAACTTTCAATATATGATTCAGAACGATGTCGTTTTGGTGTATATTTGAGTTTTGAAAAACGACATTGTTTTTATGCTTGTGTCACATCATAACGTTGTTAAATTAATGACAGAGTGAGCAAAGTGATTCAATTTATAAAGTTCAGTGAGTAAAATAGAAAAATTAAAAGTTGAATGAGAAAAATTGGAAAGATAGTATATATAATTTACCCATAAAATAATATGCAAAGCCCAATTGGTTTTGGAAAACACCCAACTTCCAACTATGCTTTAGCCTTTTGCTCGCGATATATCATATTTTAATTTTTTCCATCGTTTGATCCGGTAAGAAAGTGGCTTTCTCACTCGTACCGCTCGGACAAGACAAAGAGCTTCATAACATAACTGGTTATTAGATTCACTTGTAAATTATGCTCACAAATATTAATAAATGGTTATTAGATTTACATTAGAAAATAATAAATAAAGTAAAATAATAGATGAAAATTTAATAATAGAAAGAATAATAGTACTACTAGTAGAGTAAACTTAGGGAAAAAGTAGTAAAAACTACGCACAAAGCTAACTTATAATATAAATAAATTTGATAATTAAACATTGATCTTACTTTTATTACCATTTTTAGTTTACCTTTCCTTAAAGTTTTATCTTGATATCATCAAAATTGATCTAAAGGATAAATTTATGAAAATTGATACTATTTTTACACGAATAAGAATTTAATACAGCCAAAAGGCCCACAACCGAATTAATTTTATTTTAGAAACAAATAAAAATCCATTCAATTGCACGAAAAAAAATTCTACTGCCAAAAGTAGGGATGTAAAAAGTTGACTCGACCTGTAAAACTGACTGAAATCGACTCGAGTTAAAATTGTTTGTGACATGAGCGGTGGTGATTCGAAACCAACTCGAATTCAAACAGGTGTTTACCTGAACGTGAGTTGGACCTGAAAATTGTGAATATAAACCCGAACTGTACCCGGTCTGAGAATGACTTGAACCCAAATTGAACCGATAATATATATATACATATATCATTGATCATTGATAAATGTATATATATATATATATATATATATATATATATATATTAAACTTATATTACATACATCATGCATAAATACATATGTACATATATTGACTTTTATATATATACACATATATACTTAATTGTATATTAGATTTACAAATGAGTTTTATAAATATTGGGTTATGTAACTAGTAATACAAATGATCTTATATTAATAAAATGGATTTTTATTTATTTCAAATATATATAGTTCTTTTAATTTGATCCTTGAATATTGTTTAATTTATTTAAATTAAGTTTGTAATTTCATGTTTAATCAATTTAGTCCTTAAAATTATAGTATAAAATCTAAAACCTTATAAATTTTTGTTCCTCAACTTTTGAAATGAATGCAATTTAGTCCATTTTTATATTAGTTTCAGCTTCACAAGTTACAATTATTTTGATTTGATCCCTATATGTTGTTTAATTTATTTAAATCTTAACTTGCAATTTCTTATTTGTTCAATTTAGTTCTTAAATTATATTTGTATATGAAATTGACCCATACTTATTTATACTTTTATAATTTACTTCAAACCCAACAAATCAAATAATAAACTTCATTTCAAACTATATAAATTAGATCATAATCTCCAAACCCTTTAAACTTTATTCACCATCTTTTTAAATGGATTCAATTTGGTCCATCTTTATATTAATTTCAACTTAACATTTTATAATTATTTCGATTTGATCCCTCATCCTTTCATGTTGTTTAATTTATTTAAATTATTGTTTGTAATTTCATGTTTATTCAATTTAGTCCTTAAAATTTTATTTTTATTAAAATTGACCCATAATTATTTATATTTTTTTGTAATTTACTCCAAATCATATACAATTACAAATTACAACTTGTCGTTTAAGAAAGACAAAAAATAATTAACCCAAACTAAACGAGATCCGACTGAAATCCATCTAAACCTGAATTAGCATGGTATTTAACTGCTTCGGACCTGAACCATTTTGATCTGAACTGATATCGATCTGAATTCTAACTGAATCTGATGTCAAATCAATCTGAAAATGACTCGAACTAATTTGACCTGAATTTGACTTAATCTGAGTCGAACCATCAAATTGACCTGACACGATCTATATCTAATTTGACATGACTTAATATAATTCAACTAAAACTTGAACGATTACCTGATTTCACCTCCTAACTAAAATCCTAGTCAAGTGAAAAAGGCGGTGTATGAGAAAACAATTTTTGTTGAAATCAATGAGCTTTCAATATTTGCCCAATATAGTTCATTAATTAATTAAAGACGGAAAAAAGCTAATGCATTAATGAGAGAATATAATATCTAGTCAAATTTGAATCAGAAGATTTGGACCAAAAAAAAAAGGAAAGAGAATAAAATCAGAATCAACAAAAACTTTGTATAAATAGAAACGATAAACGAGATCAGGCCAACCAACCCACAGAATGGACAGCTTTTCCGGCAACGAATTGTGGTTTTCCTCTTACTTCCCAGCAGGCGGCGATGACGAACTGGGTCCTAACATGCAGCGAAGGGAGTCGGAGTTGAGTTTACAGCAGTTAGTTTGGTACCTGGAGAATAAGGAGGTGGTTAATGTTCCCATGGATTTAGATGCTTTTCCTGAGAACTTGGCTTTTGCTGCTGTTGACAATGCTACGTCAAGAGTACGTCTTTTTCATACTACTTTTTTTATTATTGCGAGATTCAACAAGTTGACTCATGAGCAGCGCCAAAAGAGTGAACATCTTTCATGTTGCTTTTTATGTTTAGTGAAAAAGGATCTCTAATTCACTTTCACTCTGTGACTTGGTGTGTCATATACATATCAAGCAGGCATTCTTGGGAATACCCCAAGACTCCGGGGTTGGAGGATCACAGGGATTACCCCAACACTCTGCGGTTGGAGTAGAGCAGGCATCCTTTGCGGTTGGAGGATCACCAGGATTACCCCAAGACTCTGCGGTTGGAATTGAGCAGGCATCCTTTGCGGTTGGAGGATCACAGGCATCCTTTGCGGTTGGAGTGGAGCGGGCATCCTTGGTAACACTCCAAGACCCTGCGGTTGAATCGCATGCAGCCGGTAATCCAAAGATACTTGTAAAGGTTTAAAATCGTTGAAATTTCGTAATGTGCAGCTGTGGGTTATATTCTGTATATGTAGGCGCTGTTGATTATGCAGCGGTGGAATTTGCTTGTGAAGGAGAAAACGGAGCAATGGAGAATATGGATTCTGATGATGCAAAACGTGAAAGGAGGTAACCGTTTTTTCTTTACGTTGAATTGCATATCTAATGATTCAAACATTGATCCATGTGGTGGGTTTAGGAAGCTATCAAATCGAGAGTCCGCTAGGCGCTCCAGAAGAAAATGGAAGGATCAATTCACTCAACTCCACTCACAGGTTCTTCTGTTTTCCCTTCCTCAGCTTTGAGCTTTACAAATCCTAATCTCTTATTTAATGTATGTAGGCTGATCAACTAAGGCTAGATAATACGGTCATATCAGGGCTAGCCACTGCCATAATCCAAAAGTCGGACAAATCAGCCGTAGAAAACACAGTTTTGACAGCCGATGTTAGAGCATTGAAAGCAGAGGTAAATGGCTTAGCTTGAGTCTCTTGCTGCATAGGCATCGGTCTTGCAATGTTCGGCTTCAATGCTGATACCACTTACCCCTGTTCAATACGATGAGCAAACGACAACTTTTACAGTTTTTTTGTATGCATCATGTAGTTGATATCCCTACTTAATACTACTAACATTGGTGAAAACCTTTTGGTAGTTGAAAATGGCTGAAGCCGAGGTCATCGGTGTCACCGGTTTGATCCCTGTGTTTGATCCATTACCCGGAATATCGACAATGAATGTGCCATCGGTTGATGCAAGTCCCTCTCCTGAGTCCATGGATGCTGCTGTTCCCATGCAAGACGACGGCCTGGATCATCCCTTTTATTAGGATGCTGCTGCAAAAACAATCCCTTAATCTACACCTCATAACCAATAATGCTGAATTTACAAATTGACCCTTGTCAGTTGACAACATATACCTTTTTTATTTTTACATATTCATTTTCGTTGATGTCCTTATATCAAATTAAAATGTAAAAAACAGTATTCTATCTTTTAATTTTATGATTTGTGTTGTCTGTTACTATTGTAGTAGAATCGCCCAAATTTAAGGTTATTCATTAGGGTTTGACCTATATTATTTCAGTTTTGGATTATTTACATGAGCAAGAGGCAGACACAAACTAAAACCAGGGATTCTGATTTGCACCAACTTTATCAATGCTCTGATGTTATTAGGTTAGGAGAACTTACAAAAGCAAAAATATAAATTAGCAATGAAGAAGGGGGAGGGAACAATAATTGTTTATCTTTTCAATAGAATAAAATTTATTTGACACTATGAAAAACTGAATCAAAGCCCATCGCGGGGTGTGTTCAACTACTTTTCTACATGTTCTTTCTTTGAGGAGTTCAATAAAAAAGAGCATTTCAACTGAAAGAAATAAGTAATGCATGTATTTGATTGTTTTCTTAGTGTTCCATTCCACTCGATACAATAAAGCAAACCATAACACCATGTATTAACCACCCTGACCCTGCGATGTCCTACTCGCCCAACCAGCTGCTGACGCATAGCTGAAATGTATAGTCTCATCTTGAAGCCAAAGGGTTAATGATAATAAAAGAAACAAGGCCAAGAAAAATCATCTCACCACCTCAAAGTACCCTCCAAAAAATGTATAAGCTGGTAATAAAATACAACCATCGAGGCCTCGAGGTGTTTCTCCCCACTCGCTATTTGAGCCGTGTAGGAATAGCCTGTGATGTCCTAAAACTTAAGTTAAGGTATTCTCAATGAGTCCTGCCGCTTAAGAGGGATGCCTTCAATTAACACCTCCTCTTCTTCATGCTTTAATGATCGCATAGACATAGACGTTGACAAACTCGGACCTGGTTTAACATAATCTCTATTAAAATTAAGTGTAAAGCAATAAATGTTTCTAGACTACAACATTCTTTATGAGCCTAAAAGGAGATGTTATAGAATGAATGGTGAAGAGTATGAATTCACAGTTCAAGGTACATGACAGTTATACCATCAACCATATCCTTGGTTTTGTGAAGAAGAAAAGTTCCTGAGAGGATTGTCACAAATCCACACATCTCTGTTATAATCTGAGTTGGTGTCTGCCTATCCCAATCCTGATATCAGAATATCAAACTTCAATAAGGTAAGGCCAAGGTCAATCCAAGTTAAACAAAAGAAAACTTGAAAGCAGTTATCAACTAAGCAACTCAAATCTTTAACTGCCCCTTTGCGAACAACGCAGATAAGGGATCACCAGCAATCAAAACCAGCGCAGAACCAAAAAGAAGTTTTATTTCATATCATAGCAGTCACAAACAGGGCCACTATATGAAACCAAACAAGAAAATTGCAACTTATAATTGTCGGATACATCTTGACTGACCAAACATTCCACACTTCTACACACAGTTCTTTTTCCCTTAAAAAGGCAAGCACAGTACATATAGGATTAAGCAAATCATTGCATGTTGAAGACAAATTAATTGCAATAACATTTGTGTGCAATATGGCAGAAAGTATCAAGTAGGATCTTTTAAACATTGCAATTACTAAAACTTCTGAGCCATTCTGATACCATTAATGACTGGAAATTACCTTAAACATGATCACACTAGCCAAAATGGTCAGTGACGTAAACATAACATAGTACATGGGAGAAACAATGGTTGTGTTGAAAGTATCAAGTGCCTGAAATTATGAAGGCAAAAAAAGAAAAACAATAAAAAAAGGAAACATTGATTCGGAGTAAGAAAATAATAAATAGATAAATTTCAACTGATTTAAAGTTTAAATTAATGATTATGAACACCATAAACAAAAATACCCACAAGAAACATTTCGGGGGAAAATGAAATAGATTTTGAAGAAAAATGAAAAATTTTCTTTTTGGATAGTTTTTCATTCATTCCAACATTTCTTTCGGCTCCTTTTCTTTGATGGGCATGAAAAGTAATCAAAAGAAAAGCACAAATCTAGGCATTTTAGGAAATAGAGAGCACCAAAGAAAGAAAAGACCCTGTGTAACCATTACCTTGTTTAAATAATTTATTTGGGTAATCACACAAGTAGCCACAACTAAAGTAAAGGCCCATGTCTGTGGATACACAAGCTGATTCATTCCTGAAAATGTTAACTTCAATGCAATACCGAGTGCTTTAACGCTCATGACCTGTCAAAGAACACTCTTAAAACAACAATCTGAGGGGAGGCAATGCAATTGAACGGACACAGAATTAAGCAACCAATAGCCTAGTCTTGATGCATACCGAAATAGAACCCACGAGAGAGCATACTCCAATGTAAACCATAATGTGTGTCTGTCCATATTGTGGAACAAAGCGGAATATAAGTATAAAGACAATTGTTATGACCAGAGCCGTGTAAAACAAAAATCCTGCAAAAAATTATCAAATATGATACATTCATTTCCTTTTCTGTAGTTCAACAACTTCAAGAAGAAAAACCATAAGAGCTACAACAATATCTATAAGAAAAAGCAACCTGGCTCCGTAGCAAGAGTCCAAACTTCTGCTACAGATTCAATATGACGTTCAGGGGGGGCGTGCAATACAATTGTTGTTGAGCCCACAACACACAAAGCACAACCGATAATCCCAAAAGTATGTAACCTCTCCCGCAAAATGATATGTGCAAGTACCACACTGCATTAGAAGTGATGATTAACAATAAACACTTAAATGCCAAACCTAAATTTGAGAGACAAATTTGCATGCCTGATAATGATGCTGAGAGCACTGAGAGGAGTGACCAGTATTGCCGGTGCAAATGCATAAGCAGCAAAATTAGCAATTTCCCCGACGACCACTGTTGCAAAGTTGATTAACAATTAGAATTAACTACGTTTTCCTCTAGAATCATGAATCAAAAGCAAAAAAAACTTGACTATCTCATTAGTATTTTAAAAGGCTGAAGTCTGATAACTTCCTGAACATTGAGGTGTAAGGATGCAATGTAACTAAGAAAATCTTATCATGGATGCAAGATATATTATTGACAAGAATACCACATTGTTAATTGGTGTAACATATCTTTTATAACATCTGCTTTCAGGGATAATATTTGGAAAATAAGTTAAAAATGAGAAAAGGAAAAAGACGATATAGGATCCAAATAGGAAGAAAAAAAATCCATAAGATAGAGTTAATTATCAATGAGAAACCCATAAAACTCACTTGTTATCATGCCAGCCCACCAAAGTGGCTCAAGCAAGTACGAATACCCTCCAACTCCTGTGTAAGAACCAGAAAAACTAATGTCATCGTGATTCATCATGCATAAGAACAATAAAAACTCCTCAAAAATTATATTGATAACGAAAAGGTGAAGAATCACTAAATGATATTGATAACAAATACATTCAAACGTTCTTTAAATAATTGAGATAAAAAAAATTATAAAATACACATCTAATTGCAAATGCAGCACAAAATTTTATGCAATAAACACAGAATTATAGTGAATAGAAAAAACTCTGTCCAATAGCAACAAAACACACATGCAATACCAAAGATCATCTTGAATTTTAAAAATAAAAAACATATCATTTTCGTCTATTTCATTCAATAAAGATATTGTATCTTTCTTTCCCACATTATGCAAAACTTCAGCATACAGAAACTTGGACATATTGAGGAATTTCGTAAACAATTCATAACCAATAAGTTAGAAGATACATACAATCAAAGATGACACTGAAACCCACGATCAAAAGGATGCATATGAAAAGGTCGGTGCAATTTGATAGACACAATGATTAATTTTATGAAGAAAAAGAAAAACATGAAGACTAGTTTACTAAATACAAGCTTACATGCTAGACTGACAAGAGTTCAAATCGATTAATTCCCGCATTGATGAATTAAATTCAAAGGTCAAATAAATATTCATCACTTACACTTCACTCAAATTCGTTTTCTAAATTGCGTAAACAATTATTCACAGAATCCCACAACACTTCAAGTTATTTAAAAACCTAATTGAAAATTTCCAAATTAAAGAAGAAAACACGAAATCCGAAATCAAATCATTAAAAAAGAAGTAAACTTTTGATAAATTGCAGTACCTGCCCTGACGCCAGAAGCACCTGCTTTTTTCAAGCCTTTTTTCTTAACGATGAAACTTGCCCTAATAAATAAACTTTAAGAAATAGCCAAAATCAAACCCTTAACATTATCCGAGGACATTCCCTCGCTCCATCTTCGCACAACCGACATACTCGAACCCTACACTTGAAAAAAATCTTAATTCTTGGGGGGGAGGGGGAATAACTCTATTCTACGTTGTCACAACTCGGAAACGATTCTTTGATTTGAACTCGAACGGAGTCTGAAAAAACGAGTTTATGGATCTGAAAAGGAAAAAAATCCCAGTTTTACCCAAACTTGGAGTTTTGGTGAGTTGGGTAAGCAGTGAGTGACTCGGCAATCACAAAATAGTTGTTTGCCTGTGATTTTAATTGTTGGAGATAGCTTTCTTGGATTATAGCCTCATTTTTTGTTCTTTTATTTGCAATATTGGAGCAAATCCGATCCTTTCCTTTTTTTTATTGTTTTCTTAATGATTATTTCATATGTGAGAGATTTTTAGTTTTTTTTTGGTGTTGTGCCGCGGTTCTGTGTTGTGTTGGGGGGGGGGGGGGTTTCAGAATTGGGCCAATCTGTGCTCATGGCTACCACACATGTTGAGGGTTAAAACTTGTAGAGAATAGAAGTAGCTTGTGAATGCCTTAGGTTCACGTGAATTTTAAATCTTTTACCAGTTATTATGAATGTGTGTTGTGTTGGGGGGGTTTCAGAATTGGGCCAATCTGTGCTCATGGCTACCACACATGGGTTAAACTTGTAGAGAATAGAAGTAGCTTGTTAATGCCTTAGGTTCACGTGAATTTTAAATCTTTTACCAGTTATTTTGAATTTATAGCAGCAGCTTGCTACACTTGACATAATGACATCTTATTGTCAAAATCTCAGAGGGTCTCCTACAAAACCTTGAGAAACAATTCGAGTGTAGAAAGGGAACTCTGCCCCATTCGAGATGAATTAGTGTCGCTCAATTCTTTGCGGATTGCCACGTTGATCCCTAAGATCATAGATTATGAAATCCCTTACTAATTCAATATATTTACAAATTAAAACAAATTCTACAACCGTACTCAATAGTAGGCTTCTTGGCTATATTACAATAAAACAGGCCAGGAGGCCTCTTCGGGGTGGTAAAATATTGAATAAGCCAACACAAATGTTTTTTTTAGCAATAACACCACCAAATATTTTGACTCTTGTCTCCACTCGGACATGATACATAAGAGCTCCGGCTTAACTAAAAAGAATAAAATATAATTTTTTATTAAACCAATAAAATGAATGGACATCCAAAAAACACCAAGTTATCTAAAGGTGACTTGCTGTTGGAAGACTGAAATAGCAGGTGCAAGGAAATTCAAAGCTCTTAATAAACTCTCAACAACTTTCCTTTGCAAGGCTATTTACTTGAGAAATTTACTTTCCTTTAAATATACTGAAAGTGTCTGTCAACTGATCATGCCTAGCAGATGTCAGCTTTGCTTGCAATGGCGATGGAAGACTTCAGATCAGAACAAAAATATGGACAATTAAGCTGAGGAAATCCGTAGAATTAGGGAAATAATCCAAGCGGGCCGATTATTTAGCCCCAATAGAACAACTTGAATTTTATTTTGAGATCTACGGTAAATACTACAGTGTACGTTAAACTCGTCACAACGGTATGACGAGATATATCTTTTTTAATGGATTGAGGTCTCGGTTGACAGATCGAAGCGAGGAATTCTCTTGGCGGAGGGCTTCGGCTTCCTTTGCAGCTTCACAGAGACAAGTGAGGCAGAGGTTGTGGCGGTTGGTCGTATCTTGATGTGTTGCATGAAGATGCGAGGATTGTAAAGAGCGAACATAGAAGCGGCGGAAGTGGAGGATGAGGTCGTGGTGGAAGAGTAGACTCCGTCGCTCTGGTCATCTTTTAGTTGCTTGCCTCCGAAGTCTCCATAGACGGTTGAAAAATTATCGCCTTGCATCTGCAAAATGAATATACTGAAGTTGAAAAACACTTTTAGAAATAACAGAAAACAGCGATGAATGAGTAAATTTCATTGAAATTGAGAAAATTTTTACGCTTACTGGAACAGTGGAACCTTAACTGTAACACTTATGATTTTCTGTTCAAGTCAATGAGAGAGAGAGTGAGAATTTTCTTTTGTTTTGTTTGTCGAGAGGGGAAAAAAGAAAAAGGAAAAGAAAAGAAAAGAAAAGAAAAGAAAGGGAAAGGGAAAGGGAAAGGGAAAGGGAAAGAAGACCGAACTAGAGAAATGGAGGGCGAAGAAGACTGGGTTATAGCAAGTGGGAATTGGAGGGAAAGGGGAAAAGAACAAGTTTATTTCTCCAAAACCGTTTAAACAGAATTACCCTTTGTCATGTAGTTATAGTTTCTCCACCAATATATTCCTTTTGCATTTTCCTAGGGATATATTAGTCATTTAAATAATCTAAATTTGTGTCATAGTATGATGATTAAACTTCTTGGATGATGTGGACCGTTTGATTTCATCAACATATTTTGTACGGTTGACGAGCTTATAATTTAATTTTAATTTTTTTATTAATCATTAATTTAAATTTTTAAATTTTTAATATCTTTTTTTTAAAAAAATTTAAATATAAAATAAATTTTGAATTAGTCAGTTTAGGTTTACACTTTGAGAAACGCTCACGTACGGCGCCTTAGTATACGGTTAAATCGCGTTACCAGTTTTGTTATTTTTATAAATAATAAAACTGATAAAAATACCGAAAACATTATTATTTTGACCGGTTATAATTACCTATATAGGTAAACATGATAGAAAAAATATTTTAGGTAGCGCTTTACCGAAAACATAATTTTTGACCGATTTTTTTACCGCGTTTACCTATATAGATAATTAGAACCGGTCAAAATAATAATATTTTCGGTCATTTTTACCGATTTTGTTATTTAAAATAATAACAAAATTAATAACACTTTATTTTAACCGTATACTAAGACGCCGCACCGCAAAACTGCCCTTACACTTTTTGTTTGTGATTTTGACGCACAATAACAGTTGCAGTTTTGTGTACTATATCAGTATGAGTGCTAAAAGTGGAAAATGAGATATTGAATTCGGCAGTTTTAATATATGATTAAAAGACAATAATTTTTGTTGTTATTTAATAATAAAATTGGTAAAAATTATCAGATATTATTTTTTATCGGTTTATTATTATTGAGCGTTTTATCGATTTTGTTATTATTAGGCGTTTTACCGGTTTTGTTAATAAAACCGGTAAAGCGCTATCAATTTTGTTATTTTTTCTATCGGTTTTGTTATTGTTAGTCACTTTACCGGAAATGTTAAAACATTGATGTTTTAGGTTAATAATAATGTTTTAGGTAATTTTTTTACTGATTTTATTATTTAAATAATAGCAAAACCTTTAAAGTTTCGTACTAATGTGATATTAGTTTCCTTGATAATGGTTGAAGTTGTATATTTTCAAGTTTAGCTAAACATAGAATTATTAGCATGTTTAATATATTTCGAATATTAATTTATTCATTTATGTTTGTAATAAAAGAAAATATTGACCATTCTAGAGTCCATTGATTTAAACATCGTATTTACAAGATGTGTCCCAGTGATGACAAGACAAACACAATGGTACAGACGTTGCACCCCACAGCTGACTAGACATCAACGAATACGAGTAAAACCAAAAAATGAGAAGTGATGAAAGTGGGTTTAAAAATTCGGCTCAAACAACAAAACGAGTAGGAAAAAAAGAAGTGGGAAAAGAAAAAGAGTGTTCGAATACCCTAATTTTAGGGTTAATCACGCAACAAGTCTCCACACTTTTAAAAACATACAAATCGACACACAACTTTTACAAGCTTACCATTGAACCCCTAATTTAAGTTCTGACAAATATTACTATGTAATTACCCTAAATTATTTGAAAAATATTTATGAGTAGATAAGCGTAAAGCTTTTCACCTGCAATTTTTTTATGAAGATGGATCACTTTACTTGATTCCTATTTAGCAAGTCGCTGAAATCCATTATTTTATTTGTTCAATGACTTGGTTTAAAGCTCTAAGTGGGGATGTCATTAAGTCAACAAAAAGTGACGAATTATCTTTGAAAATGATAGATTTTGTTGGATGCTTTTCTTCATATATCTCTTAGAGACCATGAGATTCTTTATAATCAAACTTGGGACGATACCAAACTACGTTGAATGTTGGCGTAGGTGCACTATATCTAGCAATGGTCTTTGTCCTAATACCAACTGCAGGAGACTATTGTTATGGGCGAAGGCATTATATTAGTGTTGGGCGTACGACTTAATTCTTACGTAATATTATTTGGTATACCAATATTGGAACTTTAATATAACTAAAATCTTTGGAATGTCATTAATTTTATTTAAATAAGTGACATAATAATTTTTAACATTATTTGTAGATATTGTAACAAAATTCAAAGTTTAATGTCTATTATGTAATTTTTAAAAGCTTAATGTCTAAAAAGATCATTTTGATATATTTAATGACCACTTATGAATTTTACCCTATATGTGAGACATTCATTCTAAAATTTTACTGTTTTATTTAAAATTATAATAAAAAAATTTTAAAAATAAAAAAGACATGCCCTACAACAATATGAATGAAGTTGAACGTAATCCATCACTAGTCCAAACCTCAATGAAAACCAAGGTTAATATTCAAATAATTACTATTCAGTAAAGAATTAAATAGTTAGTTGATTACTCAGAATGCTATCCAAACTCATCGTTATGAAAAAGTTGAACCCTGTGACCAAAAACAAATGTAATTGGAACCTTTTTAGTTAAATATTTCAAATAAATTCTCAATGCAATCATCCCTTAAGTAATATTATTTTATTTTAAAATTATGAACAAAAAAATTGAAAAGTAAAGAAGGATCACGCTAACAAAACACATTATTTTAAAAATATTAAAATATTTTAGTCTAGAGTAAGAGGAATGATATAATACCTAGTAATAAGTGTTTTTGTATTCAATTCATTTGAAAATATTTTTTAACTGTTATATTTGAAAAAACATATTAAAAGATAAAAATATCATTGTGATAATATATATTATCATTTAAGAGGAAGAGCTTTCAATATTTTTATAATTGAGTTGGTAGGTGACTAAAACATAGTCAAAAACTTAAATATATTATAAAGAACAAGAAGAGAAATAACAATAGAGAAAATGTTAATTTAGATTGGTAAATTTTATGGGGAACTCGCAACTCTAGACATATCATACCAACTCCAATTTAGGATGGAAAGAAATAAACTTACAAGACTCGCGGGTCTTC